AGGGTTTTATTCAACTTATTTTCTGACTGAAAAGGACACAGGGGGCTGGAGATCAATTTTAGATCCCCCCAAACTAAACAAGTTTCTATGGAAGCAACACTTCAAAATGGTCACACTGGCTTCAATTATACCTGCACTGGACAGAGGGGATTCATTTGCAGCCCTCAACCTACAGGACTCTTACTTCCGCATCACAGTACATCCATCTCACAGATGTTTCCTCATCTTAAACGTGGGAGAGGATGATTTTCAGTACAGGGTCCTCCCCTTCGGTCTATCCTCTGCCCTTCATGTCTTCTCAGAGGTCCTTGCAGTGATGGTAGCATACCTTCGCCAACAGGGAGTTGTGATTTTTCCATACCTTGACAATAGCCTCATAAAAGGCCGCTTATGAACAGAAACGTCCAGTATGGTCTCAAAGACCAAATATCTATTTAGTCATGTAAGAATGCTTATAAATGAACAGAAATTAATTCCCAATCTCATTCAGGACATCGAATTCATTGGAGCTCACCTTAATTCTAAATTGGCCTCATCAGTGATTCAGTGTACTGTGGCATCTAATAACTATTCTATCTACGAACCCTTCTGCTACCGTGCATACCTGCCTTTGATTGATGGGCCACATGGCTGCTACCACATACGTGTTCCAGTATGCATGCTTTCATTTCCGTGCCCTGTAGCACTGGCGAGCCTTGGTTTATACGCCATCCTGCCATTCACTTTAGAATCCAGTCTCTGTCCCCAGACATGTATTGAACTCTCTCAAATGGTGGACATCCCCTAATAGTCTCCTTGCAGGGGATCCCTTCCTTTAGCCTGAGCCATCGATACAGATTATGATAGACATCTCACTGATAGGATGGGGTGCACATCTACACCACCATACAGTACAGGGCAAATGATTACTACATGAGGTTTTGTTACACATCAACCTTCTCGAGCTCAGAGCTGTCAGGAATATGTGCAGGCACATTGCTCCCTCCAATACCAATTGCACCGTTCGTGTATTCATGGACAATACAACCACCATGTTTTATATAGACATGCAAGATAGAGCTCATTCTTGATCCCTTTGTGCGGAGGTCATCCATCTCTGGAATTTGTGCATCCATCACGGGGTCACCTTAAAAGATGACACCATCATGGCAAATAGTCTGAACCGCAACTTTTCCACAGACCACGAGTGGGAGCTGCATCCAACAGTGATAAGAATCCATCTTCCACAGGTGGGGCTACCCAGTAATAGATCTCTTCGCAACCACAAATGATACTAAGTGTCTTCACTTTTGCTCTCGAGCGGGACTGGGCGAGGATCTATGAGTGATGCATTCCTAAACCCCTGGAACAAACCATTGCACTACACCTTAATCCCCATACCACTCATCCCCAGGATCCTGCTCAAGATCCAAGCAGACAGGGGTCGAGTCATCTTAATAGCTCCATCCTGGTCCAGACAGATATGGTTCCCATGTCTTCAACACATGACTGTTGAACCACCTTACCCACTTCTATGTCGACACAATCTCCTCTCTCAGAACAGGGATAAATTACTTCACCCTCAACCTCATACTCTCCACCTCCACGCATGGCTCCTGTCTGGTTCCTTGGTGCCAAATCCTGCTGTTTTGAACAAGTAAGAACCGTTCTCCTTGATAGCAAGAGACTATCCACCAGAACCACTTACCCTAAAAAATTGAAACAGTTTACATCCTGGTGCCAGCAGATGCACATTGAACTCCACAAGGCTCTGCTTCATTCTGTCCTTGACTACATATACCACTGGAAGAGCAAGGGCCTATCCATCTTCTCCATCAAAGTACACCTGGCAGTGATTACGGCCTTCCATGTATGCAGTGCTCTCCAACCTTTTTAACCACAAGATCTCTTTTTCAATTTAAGTGCAATATAAGATCTACCTCAAACCCAAATCCCCATGCCCCACTTCCTTCCTGCCCCTTCTTAGAGGCCCAGCCCCTCCTTCATCCCTTCTCCAAGACCTCACCCTGCTCATTCCATCCCTCTTCCTCCCCCATCCTCATTCACTTTCACCAGACTGGGGCAGCGGGGTTGGGGTGCAGGCTTTGGTCTTGGGCCAAGGAGTTTGCAGTGTGGGAGGGGCTCTGGGCTTAGCCCAGGGTGGGGGATTGGGGTCTAAGGTACAAGCTCTGGGTAGGAGTTGGGTGCAGGGAGACTCACATCTGGGGCAGGAGGTTGGGTGTAGGAGGAGGTTCAAGGCTGGGTCAGGGGTTCAGGGTGCAGCATCTGGTTGGGCACCATTTAACTGAGATGTCTTCTGGGTGGTGGAGCAGTGGAGTAAAGGCATACTTACTCTTGCCATGTCCCTGCACCACTCCTGAAAGCAGCTGTCATTAACAGCAATGGCTCCATGGCACCATGTGCTGTCCTTCATCTACAGGCACTGAGCCCATTGTATCTACTGGCCATGGTTCCCCGTTATTGATCAATGGGAGCTGCAGGAGTGGTGTCTGCAGTCAAGGACAGCATGTGGAGACCCCCTACCCTGCCTTTCTCAGGAGCTGCAGGGATGTGCCAGTCACTTCCAGGAGCAGCAATTACCATAGGG